TTCCCAGAAACCACACGCCAGAAACCAGTCCCCAGAAACCACTTCCCGGAAACCAGTCCCCAGAAACCACACCCCAGAAACCAGTCCCCAGAAACCACACCCCAGAAACCAGTCCCCAGAAACCACTTCCCAGAAACCAGTCCCCAGAAACCACTCCCCAGAAACCACTTCCCAGAAACCACACCCCAGAAACCAGTCCCCAGAAACCACTTCCCAGAAACCAGTCCCCAGAAACCACTCCCCAGAAACCACTTCCCAGAAACCAACCGGGAACCGCGTTCCGAAACGAGCTGAATTCGCGTTCCAAAACGAGGCGGATGCCTCTTGGTTGGGGCTATTCCTTCACTCTAATTCATTCCCTTTCAAATCAAGCGTTCTTTCACCAGTCCCGGATTAACACCTTCTTGGACCTTGAACTGTCCACGTCCGGAGTCTGGAGTCTGCACTTGATCTGAATTGCGGAAACGTGTTAGCCAGGAACGGACGCCCATGAAGTCCTCCACAAACGAAGTTGAAAGAAAGACACGACCCAATAACTATAACACATCTGGTCCCCATCGCCAGGGAGTTCTAAGAACAAAAACTCAGAGTTTTCCTTTAAAAAAACCTATAAAAACCTACTCCATCCCACTCTGGTCGCTTCGGTGCCAACCACCTCCCCCGCGCTGCAAAAAAAACACCCGCGATGCCATGCCGAGGTCGCTGCGTTCCGGGGCGAAGCGGAGCGAGGACTCCTGCGAGGACGGATGACGTTCGACCCGCGGAAGGAGAGGCGGAGATCAATCGGAGTGACACGGAGCCTTTCTTCACTCTCTTCACTTTCTTGGAACATAGAGAGGTTCTACTATAGAGGTTACGGTCCAATGGTCCTGAAGTAAATCCACTTGAATCGTCCTCAGCTCTAAAGAACGCCCATCAAAAAAGAGATCCTTGGGTATGACAAGAAGATTCAATGAGTATCTGGTTACCTGGTTCGTTACATGTAGCTGCCGTGTTCCTTGTCTTGTTCAACTACTTGTCCTTGCTTCTCCTTGACCTTGCGTAATCTCAAGTAGGAGGATAAATCTATGTACACACCCTGAAATAATAATGGGGGTGGAACACCACCTGACCTGTCTGTAGAGGCAAATGGTCTTACAAGGGGCCATGTTCCGCATACATTGTTCAGGGAGTGTAAGCGCAAGATTTCGATGGCTTCTTATACTACACAACTGACCATGCCTAGCTCGACCCCCACTCCCGGATCCCCAACAACCACTTTGTTCAAAATCACACCTATATCGTTGGATCCTTTCCTCCGTGGATCCCAAGCAGCCACCAGGGGCTCTTCGATCGGTCTATGCTTTTGGACGGAGCGAGCCACAACGGTTACGGTTACAACGGTTTCTGGTGGTTTTGCCTGGATCCACTGGGCGCTTCGAAGTCCTCACTCCCTACCTCATCCGGCCTGTTCCCTACCTCACCTGTTCCCCAAGTTCAGCTTCGGCATCTCCAGTGGCTCGGAGCGCTCGGAGTGGCTAGGAGCCTGGCTGAAAGGCTGAAAGTGGCAGGTGGAAACCAACAGCACAGGCACCAACACCATTCCATGAAGTCTAATGTAGAATATCAAACTTTTATTGATGAGCCGCCATCATTTGGATTGTAGAACCTCTTCAGGGTTGGGGGGGCTTCATTAAGTAATCAGTCGACACTACGGCGACCAAGTGCTCGTGCTGGGTGTTGAGGTGCTCCAACCCCACCAGCGGCCGGGAATCCGGCCCGGACGCTCACCAACAAGCTGCCACCGCTAAGCAACTGAAATTACATAAATTCAATGAGTTTACAAGATGTGGGGTTTGAACAGCAACCGTTGTCATCCGTCTTCAAAAACCGTTTCGATATGTTTCGATGAAGGTTTGATGAGTATATGAACTTGGGGGGCTGCTGACGCAAGGTTCTGGTTCAGAACACCCCCTGGAACTCTTCAAATTCAGCAGAACTAAACGACAACAATAAAGAATGAGGAATGCGCACTTTCCCAGATTTGGATGCTTGGATAGGTTTCATCTTCCCAATGTCATGAACCCTTGAAGTGGAGGAATCACAAAACACGCTTCTACGGCCTCTGCCTCCGTCCTGTCGCATCTTCGAATGAAAGAACGCGCAAAAGAGCAGCAAAAGAGAGGAACACGTCGAGCAAGCTTTGGCCAGTGGCTTGGTTGAAGCGCTTTTTCGACAAGTTGTTGAGACAAATGCAGTTTCATCTTAGGCGACAAAAACAATCTTACATCTACGAAAAAAGACATTGTATTGTACGACAATACAATGCTTAATTGGACAGTCATCGGACTGTCAAATTCGATAGATGAATGCTTTAGGTGCTGTCCATTTTTTTATGACAAAGGAGGTCGATCATGTTGGCACATGCACGTTTTTGGAGACCAAAAAAGAAGGTCCAGCACCAAAGAAGGTTTTTGGCCGGAGTACTCTCCTCTTGTGATCAGTCACGGACAAACGACCACGGACGAGAGAAAAGAGCTCAGAGTTCCTTTTAAGGTCCTGTTTAAAGAATTCCTAATATTCATTACTATTCTCTTAGTTTACTGTTTTATAGCATTTCAATTCCTATGAATGTCCAATTTTTGAACCTTTTTACTTTCTCATACTGTTTCTTTAGAGGCTTTTCTTTGAACAACCCCGGTCACAACTCCTCACTAGGCACCTCATGGCATGATGGAAGTGCACCAGTCGACCGGTATTTGGGCCATTGGGCATTCAAACGAAACCAAAGACCTGCTGAAGATTGACATGGAATCATGCCTGGCGCAGTGCAGCACGTGTTCCGATCTAATCAGATCTAATCAGAACAGCAGCACATTGAAACCGGACAAAAGAAACTCGCAAAAGGAACCGAGGAGAATTTCTCACACTTGATTTTCGCTTAGCTTTTTGTTACTACTAGTAAGGCACCTGTTACTACTAGCGTGGCACTTGTTACTAGTAGCTTCTTGTTACTACTAGTAATTGGATGTCCACCCGACTCCGTGGACGCAGATGGACACCTTCCGCTCCCCTCAACGATTCCCTCGACTCTTCCGGTCTCGACCCGACAAGACAACACGCGACCCGACTCCGCCGTTGTTCACCCGTGTCTCGTGTGTCTCGTGTCTCGTGTGTTGAACTTGTGTGTTTCCGGCCCGACCTGCCCATAAGCTGGGCCATAGGCTGGGCCATAAGCACCATAGGGACCGGGCACGCCAGGGCCCATGGTCGGAGCATCTGCCTCCACCTGACAGGCGCCGAATGGATCCTGCAGGATGGGGGCATACGATCTTCCAACTATGCAAAAAGCTCTGCCTCACTTGGCAGGCATTGTCAGAAATTTTGCACAGCTGGACTCGACCAAAGAACAATACAATGTATTTTCCAGCAAGTGGTGTTGTGGACTTGCCACAAACTAGCGACGGGATTAAAACGTTCCAAGATTGCAGTGCTGGAGGCGTTGGCATCTTTTGAAAAGGGTTTTGGCGCTCGTAGGCGCTTCGTAGGCGGGCTGAGGATCCCTTCCCACTCGGCTGCCTGGGTTCAGATTATCACTGCCCGAACAGCAGAAAGTGGATAAACATTGATAAACCACTAATACAAACAGAAGGCTTTTACTATTGAGACGATGCCCATGTCGACTTTAACTCCCAAGATCTCCGAAGTCTGTATTCCAAAAACTGCTGAAGCACAAGCACGTCCCTTAGTCAGTCATGCACCATGAAATAGCCCTGGCAGTACACATGCAGTGTAGCTTGCACCACGGAGACACTCAAACACCCCATGTCGAGGTTGCGTCGATGTGTTTGCCTTTTGGAGTCCTTTCAAAAACCATTAAACAAAAAACAACACAAGGGCAAGAAGCTACTAGGGGCTCCTGGCATCGCTACTAGGAGCAAGAAGCTAATAAGAAACCAGAAATAAATAGCGACATATAATTAAGTAATAATAGAATACACACACATTATTCTATAGGGAAAAAGTCCTCCCATGGGTCCCTCGCTTAAGCCATCATCCGGTGTGTAACTTCCCCAAGTCCGACAGAAACACGGTGTGCATTTCCTTGCAAACACACATGGTACAAGCATTGACAACATCACAGCGCAAAGAAAGGAGTCATCAGCGCAAATGTTAGTTCCTGACTCGAAACAAGTGATGCGCCTAAAACAGGTGTCTTCTTCTTTGTGTTGCCCTGGGTGAGATTCCCGAGTATGGGATATGGAGTCAAAATCAAGCCAAAGCCCATGAAAGGTGCACCGTCTGTGACAATCCATGACGATGGCCAAATGGCGAAAGCCAGCCAGAGTGTGTATGTTTTCTTCCAGGTCACAAGCAGGTTTGATGCGTATGTCCTTCATGTGTGGCTGGCTGTTTCCTCCTAAAAGGAATCACGTTTCTTTTCAAAAACACGAGTTGGAGGGCAAGCAAAATGAGGGTATTACATGGCACGACAATATGTTCACATCATGTCTGCATCGCTTCCTCAGTGTTCTTGCGTCCCCAACCAGTGGCTTCTGCCCACCATGAACCTACGCCGCTACGTGCGAGTCCCTCACCGTGCTCACCTGTCGCATGGCCCGCATTCGGGACTGCTCCGTGGGCAGCTCCGCTTCAATGCTCGCTCGGGACCTGGGCGGAAAAAATGACATTAGCATTGAATAGGGGACCTGGGCTCCCTATCAAATGACATTTCTGGGGACCTGGTAGTTTGAGGCAGACCCCTCGAAATCTCGCCCCAGTCGACTGGGTTGTTCTTTTGACTGGTCCAATTTGGAACCCGAACTGAACCCAAGGAGTCGGAATTTCCGGCGGTTCGCTCTCCGGACTGAGCTACACACCCACATTGGAAAAGTACCCGTTCTCAGCCATGGCGAGTGATCCTTTTTTCCGACAAAAATGTCGAAGAAAGACCATGCAACGTATGTTTTTTCCTTGATCACTTGCGGTTTCCCCAAAATCCTGGTGACGTGACGACTGAGTCCGTTAGACTGTGGCAGTGAGGCAGTGGTTTTGGTCGCAGTGGTTTAGTGTCATTCTTAAGCTTCAAAGGTCCAGAGATCTGATTCGATGCCAGGCCAAAAAAACCGACTGCCGACGTGGTTCGCGAGGGCGCCACGTCTTGCTGATTGAGACTGGACGCAAGTGAAATCAAGATCTCGGGTAAGACACGCGCTCGTACTACCTGTTCCTCTGTCGATCTAGGTCTTATTCGTACGCCGTTCAATCGCCGTACTGTTTTGAGACACCTGTGGGGTTTAAATGCTATAGGTACCGTTTCAGGGGATCATCTTGGAGTAGACAGAATAGGGACAAGTTCCAAAGCCATGGAAAACCGACCATGTTTTAGATTGGTCATATGCTCTCTATCTACTCCAAGATGACGATATCCTCGCATCTGACATCATCAGCCCACCGACCCCTGCTATTTGGGTCCGACCCCTGGGCGCGAAACGGCCGAACGGGTCGGGGGCTGTTCCTTTCTGGGGAACCCTCACACCCCCGTGGGAGCAGCATCCTTCACCTGTCCAACGAGCGAAAACCGCGCCACTTTCGCTGTCTTCGTCACTCCGAGGGCTTAACAGGTCGGGACATGGATGTTGACCAGGTTTCAACATATGGAGGCAGCACTTATAACTCATCAACAGAAAAGAAAAAAGACAAGAACATCACCATCTTTCGACGTCCATTGACGTCCACTTTTTTGGGCCTCGGAGTCTCCTTCACTATCCTTCGCTCCTACAGGTTGGACCCGCAGTTTAAGGAATCGGAGGGGATCTGCCAAAAACGCCGCCACCCTGCCAGATCCTCAAAAGTGGTTTCACACAGTGGAACAAGTAAACCTACTGAACTAGACCTAACTCAACTCTGTGTGGAACAAAACTTGATCCACACCATTGCACTGAACTGCACTAAACCTCTAATCGATTTCCTTCAAGACTCTGAACTGGCTCGAAATGCGGGTGGCTTGCACCCATGAAAAGTGTGCAGCTCGGCAAACCGAGTTGGGACAGAAACCCAACCGCAGGGTGAAATCAACAACCTTACGCCCTCAAGGATTTCTAAGATCATTTCTTGCTTCAAAACATTCAACGTGTTCATGTGTTTTGAAAGCATGATTCTGCAACCATTCTGTCATCTCACGCAAATTTTGCTGTTCGGGCTCCTCCTGTTTCCCCTTTTCAGAGGCTGTTGTCGAACATATTTATCAAGAGCCCCTACCGAGTCGGGTCTTATGAGACTTTAAGTACAAACGCGAGGAACGAACATGTTCTGAAGTAATCTGAAGTATAGGTTCCGAATTTTAAACAAGTCAATAACTCCGACGAACACATCACATAGAAGTGGATGGCATGGCCACTGGAAAGACCATGAAATCCTCTGTAAACAGGTGGTGAACTCCACTTCCATCTTTCGTGAGTCCAAGGCTACATCTAGAATGTTGATTTTAATACAACCCTTCACATGAAGAGGATTTGCATGGAATCTAATTGGGGGGTTATTCATGAACATTCGACATTGCATGAATGTAATGAGTATGAATGACTGATGAAGTATGACAGTCTACCCTGAACGACCTTTCACTCCAATCCCCAAACTCGCCTTTCCCTGCTCACGCGTGGGAGGCAAAGACCTGATGGATCAAAAGCATATTGAATGACTCTGCATGCATCAAATCATCAAAAGGAAGTGCTGAATTTGCCGATGGTTTCGCTTCAAAATTGGCAGTGTCAGAAAAGACAAAAAACAAATGCCAAGCTTATTGCAACATATGATGGTTTGGAAATGCAGGTGAGATACGAGCAAGGACACTCCGAATGAGACACAAGAATGTAGACTGCAAGGCTTGGCAAAGGGTTTTGGCATTTAGAATGTAGAGAACAAGATGGTGGCTTAGACCCTTCCCCAAAATCTTCGTCAATTGGAGTAGTCATTCCCTAATAGGCTAAAAAGTAAAATGCTAAACGCCAAACCAGGGAATCATCTCCATCCACCCTGCAGGTTGTGCATCACCCATGCAGCTGCCTCTTTGATAGGCAACCCTTTGTTCAATTCTTGCAGGGTCCACAGGGTCCACTCACCATGTTGAATCCCTTTCCAGATGGTTCTTCTGTATACAGTAGCCAGACTGCTATAGCCAGTGGTCTTGCGGATCAAACTCACAAGTTGGACATGTCACCAACTCACTGGACTGGAGCACCTTTTGACTGGTGGAATTGTCCCCTTCAGACTGGAAGACGAACGGAGCCTGAATCGGCTGTTGCCACCCACGGAATTCCGAAAAAAGGCCCGAAGTGAGGCACAACGAGAATTGTGGCACTGGAATTTCCGTCCACAAGCCAAGAATGATTTGCCTGCAACATGGCCTCCCCAGTATCCTTTTTCATCTCAAAACAACACTCAGTGGGCAGCGGTTTCGCTTTTAGCGGCCTTTGCCAGCGGGGTGGTTTTGCAAATTTAGGATGATTTGAACTCTATGCGTGTGACAAGTTGCTCGTACAAGAAATGGCAACCATCTTTAGCTCAAGACAGAGTTCACTTACGGTGAAACAAACATGCACCCGACCCCGATTTTTGCATGTTTGAAGGCTCCAATATTGGGTTGAACCTGTTGGGATGACCCCCACGAATAGTACTGATGCACTGGGCCTATCGCTCGCCCAGCCGCTCCGCGCTCCGTCGATCGTTGAGGTCTCAACGGCGTCGTGAGCCAAGGGTTCGCCTCAACAAAGAAGAGTCTCTTGATGCAAAGAGATGGGCGTGGGTCAGGACCCAGGTTGGCCAAATGAACCAAAAGAGGGACATGGAAAAAAAAAGAAGAAGGTTAAGACCCTAAGAATTTCCATAATTCAAATGTTATAAGTTAGTGAAGGCGATAGTTTATACTTTTCCAAACTTCAAAGGGGAGATCTTCAGAAAGCTCAAGACAATCACCTTGCTCGATTGCTTCACGCCAAGAAGGGCACTTGGCCAAGTCATACGGCACTTGGAGTACCATGAATACTGTATAGAAGTGGTCATACCGAGCGGAATGAAGTTTCTGGATCCCGAAACTTCACATCTTCAGACCGAGAAGTACGAAGACGACGTCAGGTGAACATGTTGGTTCGTCGTCCCTTCGTTCGTACTGCGGATGATGAGAAAGCAGGGCCGAACAAGTACTCCATTGGAGATCTGAAAGACGAACACGGTGAGTCAGACGAGGCATCTGTTCGACTGTGGAGAGTGGAGATGACTGGTGCGCCGACCTGCAGACCCTGCCTACCTCACATGCAGGACCTCACGTGCGTCAGAAAGAAGACGACTCACCCCTTCATATTCCTAGATCACTTATTGGACAACTGACCTATATGTCGGAAATTCATCAGCTTTTGATCGCTTAGGTTATATGCAAACACATGCAGTGTTTTTTACATGTTGTTCAAAGATATCCTTGGACCTTTTAGACCGTTCTTCCTTTCTTTTGTGTGATATATGTTTGTAAATGTGTTCTTTCTGTATGATTTTCCCCATCGCTCCTTCCACTAATTATACTGCCGCGTGGCGGAGATGGCGGAGGCAGGCACCTCGGCACAGCGGCACCGCGGGCACCGTCGCGAGACGCGGCTCGAGCACGGCGTGGGATCCATTTAAGGGGCTGAACGCCTGGAACCGATAGACGTCGGATGACATGAGAAGATTCAAGATAAACATGATGATGTGAAGATCGGTGTAAATCATTGTAAATCCATCCGACTGCAGAGATCCGGAGTCAACTCAATGCACCTGCACTTCTCTCAGGCGAAGAGCCGGGCTCAGGGTGGCTCTCGAACTTCGGCGACGCAATGGAGAGCCACTCCCGAAAGATGCTCCTTCTTGCTTTCTACCTTCTTGTTTGGCACATGTCGACATTCGTATGAGCCCAAACGTGTCTTGCCCGTCACTTGGGGTGTCAACAGCTAGCTTCCTCAAAAAGAAAGAGAGTGGGAGACTGTGGGCGTGCAATATTCATACTTCATCATCAAAGAGCTTTCCTCTTCAAAGTTGCAGTTGTTCCTAATTTATCCCATCTACCCATAGCTGGGCTTCATATATTATATCAGCTACTCTGCTTATCAATAAAGAAAAGCAGGATTGTGACACTCAGTCGTTTAACAAGGAAACCATGGGAAAAGGAGCTAAGTACCAATTCTGCACACTAACCAAGAAAGGAAATGAATTATTCAACAAGAGGAGTACCTACTCAAAGACTGGCAAGTCTACTAGGTGTGGTGAATTAAGTGTAGGAGCAAACAATCCTCTTGCATTGAAGCATTTGATTGTTGATGACAAACAATCTTCAAAGGCATACTTGAAGCAAAGCTCTGCAACATGCTGACAAATACCAGAAAAGAACAGCCCTTTAGACTCTAGACTAGAAAGAGCTTGCTGAGGAGATCGGAGATTGGATTTGTTGGGATCTCAATTATATAAAGCACATAAGATGGACGAATAGAAAGTCAAATTACAAGATATGATATAAAAACTAGTTACTGGAGCAATAGACAATCATGTTGAGACGAATAGCTATTTGTTAAAGGAATAGTGTTGAGGGGAGAGGAAGAGTTAACGAAACAACATTGAGCGTGTGTGTATATATATACATAATACATACATGTACACGTGAGACAAAACAGCCAAGAATGAAAATTATCCCTATTTAAGCATGGATATTGTTCATTGAAGAACTCTTATCTACCATAGGCGAAAAGCAGTCCAAACCACACAGACTGAATGGCTATTTGGGTTTGGCTTGGACCCTGTCCAAAACAAAAGAAACAAGAACGATGATGAGAAACCGAAAGAATTATGTTGCATGGATAGAAGCAAATCAAACCCAATCCATCTGCTCTAGCTCAGTACAGCTGAGTACCTGTTTAAGGTTCTCCTCATTTGGAATTTAATGTTCTGAAGAATGACAATGTTTAAGGATAGAAGGAGCTAAACAAGATAAAACAACTTGACAAAATTCACCTTCTGAAGATCAAAGCCGCTTTACTTTTGTGGTGCTTAATTTCAATGCACAACTGAAAGTCTAAGAGAAGTTGAGGAAAACATATAATATAGACTACTGAAGCAATAGTTTCTATTGATTTGATTTGTTTTTGACGTTATTGGTTTTATTGATTTGACTGTTGTTTGACTTTGACTTTTGGGACTGACTACTAAGTTGACTTGTTTGATTATGTTTCTTTTTTAACACAGGCTCTCTCCAATGATTTTTTTTAAAATAGAAAAGGCTATTGAGACTCAGAAGAGCTTGCAGGGAAGAGTGAGGAAGAGTTATATATATATATGTTAACATCATATATTGATAATGACTTGTATCAGTAGTGACCCAAGTAAGGGTATTGCTAAATTAAGTATAGGGGAGTGGCCACGAAAAGAGAGCAAACAACAACTGTACCGCAGCCCGCAACAAACCCAAAACATACAAGGCAATGAATTGATCTGGTCTACATAATCATAGGATATCATAGGTATTCTAGTATAGACGTTCTTTTCCTTTTTGGCGTCAACGCGGGCGGGCGTTTTAACAGTGGAGCGTCACACCGTGGCGGTCACGCCGGTCACTTTGTTCGGATTCTACGTGGAAAACGGGTGCAGATGTGTGCAGTCATTGGATGTGATGTGCAAGGAAAAGGAAGAAGCTGAGGCGGCCCATGACAACTCAGTCCTGAGGTGTCATGAAACAGTGGAGGTGTCAGCAGTGTCCGGACTGGGATGTGTCACCGGACTCAGACGTTGGAGTGCTATGGTCCTCCAGCCCCCTCGGGGCACGCCATCCCATCCACGTTGACGGTAGGGGAGACTTCCGCTTGCTGATATCACATCATACGTCTCATATCATGTCTCGAGTCGATCTTCAAAAAGGGCTCGCCCAAAACAGCCCCCGCCGAGGCGCTGCAGAATGTCCGGAAGCATAGGACGAGATGTCATCCTGCATCGGACGATCGAAGGACGAACTCGCTGATCGACGTTGCTAGCCATGAAGGCCGACGTGAAGAAGGTCGACGTAGCTCGGCTCAAGAAGGCCGTGCTCTTTTTCTCTTCGTTCAATTTTGAAATGAGTTCTTTAGTATTTCCTCCATATTCCATATGACTTTCCCATGTGTTTTTTTTCCCAGATCCAATTTATGTTGAATTTGTTCCATAATATGTGTGTCTTTTCCTATGTTCAGCCACCGGAACACAATAACACGAGAGGTGCACGACCGCACCATCCGACGCGGAGCGGTGAAACGACCGAGACGGATTGAAGCTACGAGGAGAGAAGCCACATGAAGAGATATGAGTGTGCAATGTCAATAGGGAGACCCCCGATCGCCCCAATGAGTAGACTGGTATTTCGCTGGTATTTATTATTCTTAAAATGTTCCCATTTATTCCAGGATGCTGAACTGGGAGGTCACCGTTCTTTGTTCCCAACTTGTCCAGTCAACTTGTCCAGCAAAAAAAACACAATAAACACCAAAACATGTCGTCTCAATGTAAAAAAAATCTCAAACACAACAAAAACTTTTTTTTAAAATGTAGTTTCTTAAGTTCAAGTCTTGGAGGGGTGCTTGGTTCAATAGTGCAACGAACTGATCGTCTAAAACTCTCTGGCTTTTGCTGAGGAGGCAAAGCCCAAAGACAAGCTGGCAAAAGAAGGCGACAGGGTTCTCAACCAACGATCGCTGCGGCGATGCGCAATGGGATGCAATGGGTTGAACACGCTCGTGCTGAACACTCGGGTGGTGAACATCACCCTTGAACGTGCCGCAGGCGAACAGGGACCCCGCCGATCAGTCCCGCCATGCCTCATTCTAGTGGATGACGGCTGATGACTCGCCAGGTGAGGCAAAAACCACAAAATCAAGACTGAAAACAACGGAAGTTTGGGGAATAAAAACAAGAAACACAAAAACAGCAACAAAACTCGAAGAAAGAACAAATAAAACAAAAACACCCCCACACATGCACACAAACGCGACTCTCTCCCGGCGCGCCGCGTTCGAAGCGCGTTTGACGCGTGTCCGGATGCCGTAGGACGGCAGGCCCCGAGGAGGGCGGGATGTACATGAACCTGGGATGCTTTAAGCCCAGGAGGACGGGTGGTTCTGTGATAAGATACCTTTTACCAGTATTGTACCATATCTGTTATGGCTGTTATGATGTTACATGATTTTACCAGCTATCGTCGGTGTGTGATTCCACACTTGCTGTTTGTTGATCGTTTTACTGGCAAGAACTGAAAGATCCAGAGGGAGAGAGAACAGGGTGTGAAGCTACTAGTAACAAGTGCCTTACTACTAGTAACAATAAGAATTAAACTAAAATTAATAGCTTCTTGTTACTACTAGTAAGGCACTTGTTACTAGTAGCGTGGCACTTGTTGCTAGTAGCTTCCTACCCCCTCCCCAGGTCGGTTGGTGGGTCATTTCGGTCCCCTGGCCGTCCCCGCAAGGGAATCGGACCCGAAACGCCCGTCACTGTGGTTCTTTTCTTCGGGTCCATCCCGGCTGGACTCATCAAAGTTGAGAGCACGTTCGCAAATTCTTCTTCGAATCTGGAGGAGTGCATGGGTTGCCTATGGTTGCCTCGTGCACCTTCCAGAAAAATGTAGGAGATGTCCTAACTCCACGCGATTTGGAACTCAGTGTGGTGTGGTGTAGCTTCTATACCCAGCAGTCCATCAGATCCGCCGAAAACAACGGACTGCGTGGTGCAGAGAGTGCAGACACGTGGTGCGGCAGACACGTACCCCGGCGTTGTCTGGTTTGGTTTTGCCAACACCGAGGCATGGTCTTCTAAGATGAGGCATGGCAGCTAATGGGTTGGAACCTAGTTGTCCTACCAACGATCTCGAAAGAGCTGGGGGGGCCTGCAAACATGCCCGTAAGCGGATTGTTGTTTCGGCCAACGCACCAAGCACACCCCGGTCAAGCACCACTTCGCGATGCCGAGTCCTCTCACAATACTACAGTTGTAAGAGAGACGGGTTCTCCAGCAGTTCCAAGTTCCAAAGGAATGGTTGTAAGCGTCCCATCCAGTGAGTAGATGTGAGAAGAGCACCCCACTCGGCACTCCACTCAGCACTTGTTTCCCATGGAACTGCTGGCCAAGAGCTTGTTTCCCTAACAATCCAAATATACCGTCTCAGAAGGTATTTGGACTGGCGCCGGCTAAAACCGTAGACTGAACGAAACCCTGGTTCCTTATTTGCCCGTGGTTTGGGCATGGGGTTTCCATGTTCTGGTTACAACAGCTCCAACCGAGCATCGTCATTCTTCACTCCCCACATCTCCCACCGACCCAGAACCGCCAGCCTGCTGAGGGACGAATCTGAAGCTCTGTTACACCAGCGCCAGACGGAGCTTCTCCGGCTTGGAGGGACTCAAATGGGGTATACGGTCCTTGAGGTTTTGCGGGGTATTCTACACTTCTTGAAACACCCAAAAATGGGAGGCATGAGAAGCCGAACCTTACATCCAAAGCATTGAAACATATTGAAAACCTACAGTTGCCTGCTATTGTTTGAGTGTAGGGTTCTTTTTGGGGGGGAAACGGTCGTTGGTGAACTTGTTCACTGCCAAACATACAGTTCATGGGCATAACGCTCAAAGAACTGTGCTGTTGGGTATTCCGAATGACTTGAACTACGTCCTTGACAAAGCGCGACTGCGATGGCAGGGCGTGTGGCGACTCTTTAGAAACATATTATAACTTTAAACAAACTAACCATCAACAAACATAGCAATATATACTAATTATTATATACTGGCGCACATTGACCCCCCAAATCACCAAAATGTAGACACATATTGCAGTCCCATGGAGTCCTGGGTGTTCCTTTTGGATTTACCTGCGGACGAAAAGGTACTTGGGGAAAAGAACCTGATCATTCCAGGAGTCCCAAAGCAGAATCAATGGCGAGAAGTTGGATTTTGGTCTATTTCGTGGCCCAAAACCCGTCGATCTCCGAGTTGCGTGGGAACAAGAAGGAGCCAATCTACCATTGTCGACCCTTGTCGCTTCACCCCAGAACACAATCCTAAGAGCCGGGAAAAAGTCCAGTCGTGACGACCTTCTCCCTGAAACCATGGGCGGCATCTGAAAAAAACAAGAAACAGAACAGTGTCGTCTCCTGCGAAATATCAACCCCACCACGTTGAGGAACAGAACCACCATCCCCCGGCCCCCTTTTGGGTCCGTTCTCAAAAGGGCCAGGAGTCGACGTGGCATCGATGCCAGGTGTCCTCGTCTGTCCGCTCATCTGCCCTGTTGGGACTTCCAAGCACTGCACCTTTGTACATTTGCACCACATGTCCTAGGCATTTCCTCTCAAGTCAGCTAGCTATACATGGGAGCCGTAACTTAATCCCACCTTCAAAACGAGGGCACGACTGGAGCCCTAGAGCCCTAGGGTGGTGGTTGACCCGGTGCCCGCCATGGAAGCCACGCAACGCGCGACGCAACGCGTGACCCACGCTGATCCAAACCGATGATGCGCATCACCGACCAGCAGGAGTCGGCGGCTCCACCGGGAACGAGACACGAAGGTCCAGAGTGGCGGAGACACGAAGGTCTAGACTTGGTGACCACAAGACTCACCACCGTTGAAATGGGACTGGCATTGTTCCATCAGAACCAGGGGTGTTGTTGTAATTGTGCCAGTCCCATGAGGAGTGTCTATAATCACGCCCCTGTGCGGAAATGGTATACCATCGGACTGGCATCTGTATACCGACCGATCCATTCTTTCAGGACATCATGTTTTTTCAACTCCATGGCAACTCCACCTCTTTTGGAGATCCGTTTCCATTGTCCTTACCACTCTTTCAGGCTTCAGCGATATTTCTCTTACCAATATTGGATAGACAGCTCGCCCACCCCCTTCCACAGCACTCACAGCACTCACCGCGGCATGCGACAGCGACCTTTTGGCGCAGCGGAGCTACCAGGACTCCTCAGTGCCTCGAGACCCGAGGACTCCACAGCGTCGTGAGCGAACGGAAGTGGCTCAGCCAGAGGCAGTGGCTATCGGTGGTTCAGCCGATACAGTTCAAGCGACCCTGAAACACTGTATAGGGAAATGAGATGAAATCAAATGACATCAGATGAAATGAGGAACTCTTCATTCAGGTGAACAATTAAATGTTTTCTATTCCGACATAGTTCAAGAAGATGAAACCTGCTGTTTTCGTGGTATTTCCGACACAATAAGCTGAATCCTCCCTACAACATATGTAGCTGTGGGAGGAAGAAAAGCTGACACATCACCTAACTCCTCCAAACTCCGGCGCAGGTCGAAGTCCATGATGCGGGTCCCATCTCCGTAGCTCGACCTCTCTTTGTTAAATAGGCAAAATTATTGTTTCGATGGATGAACGTGGACTCAACTCACTCTTTCATCAGTTCTGGTCAATTCGAGAAAAGACGCGAAAAAAGAACCAACAAACATCGAAATTGAATGCAACAAAATCCGAACTCTGGATTCCTTCGGGTCCACCTGGTTATGGCATACAGGTTATGGGTCCTCCGTTTCACCCATGTTGAGTCATCGAACGATCAAGAGGTTCAGCCGCGGACGGACGGGATCCTCATGCCCGGGTCAAAAGGTTTTCTTAGGACTGATCAGTGATCCTAAAAGTGGCCTCCATGGGTTTTGATGGCTGGTTCAGATATGGCTTTGATGGTCCTCCGCTTTCTGTTGGAGAAGTGATCACAAGCTGACTTAGCAAGCGCATCTTTCGCAGGATCCGAATCCGTAAGGATTTCGCCGGAGTTTCACCCGGGGGCAGGAGACCTGATCAAACCCCCACGCAGCCACGTGCCTCGACTCCTGCCCCAGGTTTGCTTTGGATTCCAAGCTTCTTTCCTTAAAAGTGACTGATCACAGGCGAAGGGATCGGCATACATCATTTGTGATCCATGTGACTGTCATGACACTCGTGAGTCAGCGCGCAGTCATGGGTTTTGGTTGACCGTGAAGCTCCAAAACAGAACCCCGAGGTAGAGAAAGTTATGATCACAAACTGCAGGACACATTTCACTGTGCCACTCACTCCACTGACTTCATGGTACCACCACCACCACCACCACCAACAACAACAACAACATTCACATCAGTGAGTGACAAGTGGTCGAGGAGCAGCCCACTTGTGAAGCTGAAATCTCCGGTCAGGTAGGGCAAAGCTTGTCATGTAAATCCCTAACCCCACTTTACAAAAATATACATAACAGACATGACTTGTCGGTCCATCCAAACCAAGCCTCTGTAGTTCAATCAAATCGGCCTAAAATCTGATTGGTGTCGAAGCAAAACTGCTGATTGATGTGATTGGCAAAGCCCATAAAGGGCAAAGGCCGGAAATAACATATCAAAAAACATTCAAAAGCAGTGAACTGGACACAAAACCAGAAATGAACGGACGATGATTGACGAATTCTCCTCCCCCTGCTTTCCAAAGCCGGGCTTCTTTTGTTGAGGCCAGGATTCTTTGGTCGGAGGCCACGAGGAATCCCAATCACTCTCTTTCGCCTTTGGCTTCCACTCCTTTTCAGGGCCTCGCCAGTCATGTTCTCCTCCTTTCCATTCTTTTGGTTTCCATTCCTTTTGTGGCCCTTTCCACTCTCCCTCACCAGAAGCCGTCCACTCCTTTTGTCCTTTCCAATCTTTCTCTTGTCCTCTCCAGTCATGCTCCCCTTTCCATTCCTTCTCTTCTCTCCAGTCATGCTCCCCTTTCCATTCCTTCTGCCCTCTCCATTCCTTCTCTTGCCCCTTCCACTCTTTCTCTTGCCCCTTCCACTCTTTCTGTTGCCCCTTCCACTCCTTCTGTCCTTTCCACTCCTTCTGTCCTTTCCACTCATCCGGCTTCCAGGCATCTTGTCCCCAAGACTGCTCAGCAGGTTCCCAAATCTCCTCTCGCTGCTCATCGGCCTAGTTTGGGTGCGCATGGCGGAGAACACTAACCCACACGTAAGAGGACCCCCAAAAAAGGTGGTAGGCCGACATGTTGATTCCGACTGTCTGTTTTGTTCATTTGAAGGGTTCTGCACAAATTCCCAGTTCCGAGTTACATCCCTTTTCCTGCCTTCCCAAAAAGAGCAAGAAATAAACAACATGTGAGGATGAGGACTTCGTCACAGGCGAAGTATTAAAAAAAAACAACTCGAGTCTCCCCTTCTCCTCTGATCAAGCAGCGTCCCAACAAGTAACAAAAACAAAGGTCAAGTGCCAAAAGGCTAGCTAGCTGTTTCCGAACTCAACGAAGCTCAAATCAGAACCAAATCCATCCAAGTTCAGTGAGGAAGTTCTCCTCTCCTGGGTTCCATCGTCCTCCCCATCTGAATATGACTGCCCAGGGCCGACGGAAGACTCATCTTCCCGGCCTTCCAGGTGTTCCACTTCTTTTGCCAAGCACTCGTGGCTTTCCCGTCACCTGTGAAGAGGAACATTCAACAAGGAAACCCGGAAGGAGATCCGAAACTAACGCAATCCTTCGGATGTCTGAAAATGGAAATGGTGCCACACTCGAGTTCTTTCGAGCAGTTCTTGTTATTCTTGTTGCTGCTGTAGTTGTAGTTGTAGTTGTAGTTGTAGCCGTAGTTGTAGTTGTAGTGGTGGTGGTAGTAGTGGTAGGGTGGTGGTAGTGGTAGTGGTAGTGGTAGTGGTAGTGGTAGTGGTAGTGGTAGTGGTAGTGGTAGTGGTAGGGGTAGGGGTAGGGGTAGGGGTAGGGGTAGGGGTGGGGTAGGGGTAGGGGTAGTGGTAGTGGTAGTGGTAGTGGTAGTGGTGGTAGTAGTAGTAGTAGTCGTAGTGGTGGTGGTGGTAGTAGTAGTAGTAGGTAGTACTTGTCGTTGTTGTTGGTGGTGTAAAAACAAAGACACACACTGAAAAACACGTTGCTTGTTCAAAACCGCTGGGATGCAAAAATGTGGATCAAACATGATCAAACAAACGTCGCCTTTGCGGCCGCCCTTGGCTCCTTTGGTTCCGCCTTTGGCGCCAGCGCCTTTGGCGCCTTTCGCCGAAGTTGCCTGGTGTGGTGAACCGGGGGTTGTTTTTCGGACGCGCATGAGTGGAGAAGTGCTGATGCAAAAGAGATATATACAGAGTGTTGAACCATTGACTTCTTTGATGCTTTTTTGGCGGTAGGTTTCCAAGGCGCATTTCAAAAGAGACATCTTCACATCTTCCAACTTCAGACTTCAGAGCTCTATAAGAAAACTTCATGAGAGAACTGATGGGTATGCTTTTCTAAGTCTTTCCTTCAGTAAAGGAGCCAATGGGCCACCTCCAATTGGCCACTCGACACGACCTGTGGATCTCCATTGTCCACACCTCTTTGAAGGTCTATGACAAAAAGCTCTTGCTGACCTTTACTGGCGATTTTTCATCAT